AATTACAGTGAAAACCTTGGACCAACTGCCTTCTTCATCTCAAATGGGCCAATATCGCACCGTCACAAGCTGCTCCAACGCTGGAGCTAGCCTTACATCTTCGACCACGGAGGGCAAGTGAGATAGTGGAAAAGTTGTCACAACCAAAAGAATCATAGTTCTAAGAATCCAACCCCCATTTAATCCCGCATGCCTCACACCGGCACTGGAGGGAACACTAATGCATGGGTGAGGTCAGAGGTCACGGTCACAAAGGGGAGATGGCTCTTCTACACCAACTAACCCCACGAACCCTAGCCTCACCGTCTAGCACAAACGATAGGAATTTACATGCGAATCAAGATGCTGCCATGGACAACACCATCGAGATCGAAAGGCTCAAGAAATACTTATTTGTTAGGCAAATGCCGCCACCCCCATCGATGACACATGGCTAGAGGCGACTTTGGTGTACACCGTCGCCGTCGCCAGAAGGGTCGAAGCAACAGATAGCGAAGAAGTGTCTGAAATTTGTTTATTTAAAGGAGATATTTCATTAATTACTAGCTACTCCCCGTAGTTCGTGAACCGCGATAACTAACTAGAACTACAAAATGAAACTCATTGCAACGTTCACAAATGCTCAAAAGTAAGATGAGTCCTTATACAATGGAAGCAGCAAATAGAATAAAAACTCCTCGCCCACACCATTTCTACAAATTTGCCTAGTAAGTCACATCGACTATGGTTTGAATCATATCCAACACCGTCGATATTGCTTTCCATTGCAGGATCAATGAAACAACCTTACATATACCTTGACCGGTTTTGTTTCTCAGAAGAGAAATATAAGAAAACCACTTTGTTCAGAGGCCCAAGGCCTCTACCTAAAGACCCAAAATTTGGAATACTACATCTCCATTTAGTAGATCAGGACCTTCACACACACACACCCATAGGGCTGGCCGAGGAAGGGGCGGTGACCTACCGACAAAGGAGAAGTGGCGGCGCGACGTGTCCAAGTTCGCCTCTCGCTAGGGTTAGGAGAGGAGACGACTAGGGAAGGTGAGGCATGTTTCTGAGTTCCTGAAGTCATTTTTTACCAAAGTTTTCACAATTTTGAACATGTGCACCTAATTTCCTTCTCATATCAATGATTCCAACTCATGAGTGTTACTGCTCTGATACAAACCAAAGAGATTGAAAGGTGAATGATTTGCTTGGCAAAAGAACGTGTTTAGCAGTTTAAAATGGGCAGCGCTACGCATCGGCCGGCGGATAATCTGAAAACTTCCGTCGCCTTAATAGCTATTGGATAGCGTGTCAAGTAGTCGTCGATCTCTGCAACAAGCTCAATGTCGCGCTCATCTCTCTACAACAACGGTCTTGTTGCAATCTTTCTCGGACCTTTTTTGACTGATTTCTTCAAGTGGAGCCTTGTTGCGCCCAAGCTTCTGAAACAAGGACGTTGTTGCAAAACTTTTTCGAAGCACGCTCATCTCTCTGCAACAACGGGCTTGTTGCAATCTTTCTTGGACCGTCTTTTTCTCTCTTTGAATTTTGTAATAGGAGCCTTATTGCGTTAAGGCTTCTGCAACAAGGAAGTTGTTGCAAAACCTTTTCAGACATTTTTTCCTCCGATATCTGCAACATGAGTCTTGTTGCACTCAATCTTGTGCAACAACAACCTTGTTCCGGAACCTTTTTAGACCTTTTTCGTTCGATTTCTGTAACAGGAGTTTTGTTGCATAGAGCCTTCTGCAAAAAAGATTTTTGTTGTCTTTCCCTGCAACGGAAAGGAGAACGTGGGCATGGATGTGGAGGCGAGCGTGGTTGTGGGCGATTGTTGAGCACCACCGGTTTCGTGCGTAGGACCACTGGACGTGTGACGTGTGATGGAGGCAACGGAAGCTTTACTGAAATCGGCAGGCTGATCCAAACCGTATCCCTTTGAAGAATGGCAGGGCTTCGACTTCGAAAAGTCGATTTTTGTGTTGAAAGGAATTTTTTCATTCATTTACCGGCTACTCCACATAGCCCAACAACCGAAATAGGTGACCACAGCTTCAAAAACTCATTACAACACCAACAAATGCACAAAAGGAAGATGATGCACTAGACCATGAAAGGCGCAACAGAATGACAACTCTCCACGAAAGCCATCTCTGGCCATCTGCCTAGTAAGAGCATCTCCAACAGCCGCCGAACGCGCCGCGCGCTAAAAACTACTTTGTCGCGCGCCCATCGCCTGATTTGGCGCGGTGGGCAGCGCTGGCTCCAGCAGCCGCGCTAAAATGCAGCGTGCGCGCAGCTCCAGCAATGCGCAAAAATGCAGCATGCGCGACTCTCGCACAAACAACATATGCATTTCAAAACAGAAGCAAAAAGATCAAACACAGACAAAAATAAATCAAAATAAATAGTTCAATTTTGTTATTACAACTCAAACAAACAGTTTATCATTCAATACAACAAATAGTGCAATAAACAGAACAAATAGTTCAACAATACAATATCTGATTAGAGGGGGGCGGACGCGCGCGAGGGGCGGCGGTGACTAGAGGGGGGCGGAGGAAGCCGCCGCGGCGCGGGGATAGGCCGGGGAAGCGCCAGAACGGTCGCCGGATGGCGCGGGCGGCGGCGGCGCCGCGCCTGGAGGGGGGTGAGTTGCGAGCGAGCGCGCGAGAGTCTAGCGCGCGGGAGCGGGCGCAGCAAATAAGCGGGGCGCGATGGAGTTTCGGCCCGCGCGCTGAACTAGATATGCCGCGCGAATGGTTTTTACGCGCCCGCTGGAGCCACTATACCAGTTGCACGCGTTAAAATGGGCAATTTTGCGGCGCGACGCTAGTTTGACGCGGCTGTTGGAGATGCTCTAAGGCGCACCACCGTGATCTGAATCTCCCCCTGCATCATTACTCACTCTATGCATTTAAAAACCGAACCGAAAAACCATACCGAAAATAAACCGAACCGAACCAATTTTATGGTTTTTATGTTTTCTGGTTTCGGTATGGTATGAACTTTTCATACCGATTTGAACTTGGTTTTTGTGATATATACCGGAAAACCGAACGGTTAACCGAATAAACCAAAGTAAAAAATAAATTTATATTTCTTGAGATGAACAACCATACAAGTTGTCATTTTTCTTGTACATAAGTCAAATGCACTACTAAGAACGTAATTTTTTTCTTGTAACATAGTCATTTTTCTATTTTTAAAATGCTAAGCACGTCCATAACCATCAACAGATGAATCAATGCATGCATATATACTTATATATATATAGTCATATACTATTTGTGTAGAATAGTATGTGTTTTGAGTCATAAATTTGCTAATTATTATTACCTGAAATCTTAAAAGTGCACGCGCACTTTTCCGTAGCAATGGGCGGCCGGTTTGTTACTCACATGTGTGTCTTTTTTTGTCAGCTAGTGGATGTTTTTGTTAGCATTAATTGCGTATAGACAAGTCTGGAAAACAGATTCACGTACATTTATTTTGGTATGTTCAATTTTTAAAAAGTCATATCTTTTAAACCACACGTCGGAATTCAGATCCTTTTCATTGTTGGATTCATCGTGACAAAATCTTCGAAACTAGATCCCGTATGGGTATGTTTCGACGAAAAAATTTTGATGTCAACTTTGGTGCTATATGGTGCAACTAAAGTACTGCATTGTGCAACTTTAATATTACATGGTGCAACTTTTTTTAAAACCAACTTTAGTACTACATGGCTTGTAATTTAGTCTAGTTGCACACACATTGATGTTTTGGCTTATAATGTAGTCTAGTTGCACACACATTGATGTTTAGTTGCCAAAAGGACTAGTTGCACACACATATACTCAGTTGGCTTGTAATTTAGTCTAGTTGCACACATATTGATGTTTAGTTGGCAGGACACTAGTTGCACACACATATGCGCAATTGACGTGGCAATGTACTCTAGTTGCACACACATTGCTATTTAGTTGGCAGGACTAGTTACACACATATATGCTCAGTTGGCGCGACAATGTAGTCTGGTTGCACACACATTGATGTTTAGTTGGCATGACTACTGGCACACACATATGCTCAGTTGGCGCGGTAACGTAGTTTAGTTGCACACACATTGATGTTTAGTTGGCAGAAAGACTATTGACACACACGTATGCTCGGTTGGCGCAGCATGTAGTGTAGTTGCACACATATTGATGTTTAATTGGCAGGAAGAATAGTTCGTCGAAACATCCCCATGTGGGATCTACTTTTGAAGAGCACGTCGCAAGAGTTTCAACGATGAAAACGAATCTGAATTTCGACACACGGATTGAAAGTTATGCTTTTTTAAAATTTAAAATTGCCTAAAATGGCAAGCCGCTCGTTAAGCGTCCCAGACGGCTGTGCACTGGCTAGACACGTCCTTATTATTAAGTCATTTTCAATTTCGCATCAACTTTGATTTTTATGGTATATACTGAAACCATATCGAAATAATTTGGTATATACCGAAACCGAACCGTATTTTAATTTTATACCATATTTACTGAAATATTAATACCATACAAACTGAAAAACCGTATAAATCAAACCATGTAAACCGAATAAACCGAACGCACAGGATGAATCATTACAAGCGAAACGGCCCTACGAATCACCTTTGTTCAGTTTTGCTTCAAAAGGAATCAAAATAAATCAAATCACCTTGTTCAGAAAACACAAAGCATTCACACTTTTATTAGAGACTAATCCGCATCAAAAAACTGTGACGTGCCCAGATTAGAACTACACTAGTATCCATCCCTCTACCGCTACCCGGCCCCATTCTGACCCATCCCCTCTCACTCTCAGACAATGAAGGCTTCCAAATCAGCCGCGCCCACGAGCGTATCATCATCCTTGATAATGGCTACGACTACAAGTCAATCCATTGCGCATCGCATGCACCTTTACCCTGGACGCACGGATGCTCAACCTTCACTCCGCATTGATCCGAATCTCCTTACGTGCGGCTTAATTTGCTTTGATCATCAGCCGTCGGACGGCGGCATGGAGCACGGCCCGGCGGTGGCGGGGTACGCGGCGGACGCCTCCAGGAACCTCCTCTGGTGGTCGTCGGCGAGGCAGAGCACGGAGCCGGCGCAGGCCTCTTGGGACGAGTGCGGCGGCGCCGGCCGGAAGTCGAGCAGCGCGGCGTACTCGGTGAGCAGGTGCAGCATGTAGTCGTAGACGGTGTCCATGCCCAGCTCCTGCATGAGCCGCTGCCCGCGCTTCCCGACCCGCTCCGCCTCCTCCGGGTGCGCGTTGCCCCACTCCACGGCGTCCCGGATGGACTCGCACATCCCCACCGTGCTCACCGGCCAGTGGTTCACCCGCGGCTCCAGCCCCCGGCTGAAGAAGTCCTGGTACAGCGGGTCGATCAGCAGCGCCATGGACCCGCACGACAGGATGTACTTGAGGCTCACCGACCACGCGAACCCCTCCGCGTAGATCTTGTACCTGCACCGCCACCCCATCATAAACACGTTAGCCGCCATGGATTGATGGATGGATGCTTGGATAGAGATAGACGAAGGCGATTTACGAGTGATTTACCGGTGCGTGCACTGGCTGGAGAGCTTGGAGTTCTGGTACCCGGACTTGGCCTCCTCCTCCCAGTTCTGCATACAAATGTGATTGTTCAGCTCGATCTCGGCTCGCCACATGTGCATTCAAATGGATAGAGATGGACGACGATTTACTTGGCGCATGATCTCGGCTCGCCACAGGTTGGTGTCGTTGCAGGCGAGCAGCGCGAGGCGGAGGGGCGACGCCACGTCGGGGTTGCCCTTCCAGTACGCCGTGGGCACCCTGTCCGGCCAGCGCACCCGCCTGGAGCCCTGCTTGACGCTCCTGAACTCCCGGGTCCACGGCTCGATGTGCGTCTCCGGCCAGCCCCAGAAGGACCAGTCCGGGAACGGGATGTCAAAGTGGTCGCGGGTGGTGCAGTACCGGAACAGAGGAGGCGGCGGCGGCGCGCCCTCGCCGGTGTGCTCGGTGCGGTTGATGGCCGGCCGGTCCATGCAGTCGAGCATGAGGTCCACGTCCGGGACGCGGCCGGGGTAGCGCCGCATGAGCTGCAGCAGGCTCCACACCGTGAAGAGCGCGCGGCTCTGGACGCAGGCGTAGTAGAGGTCCACGTGCAGCCGCGTCCCGCCGCCCGTGATGGTGACGCGCATGGACGCGCGGTGGCGGCCCGACTCGACGAGCGCGCGCGTGATGCCGCCGCCGCCGCCGTCGCGGCGCCGCCAGGGCGCCAGGTCGCGGCGGATGGCGGCGAAGTAGGACGGGCACCGCCGCGGCCTCGACGCGTTGGCCGCCACCGCCGCCGCCGGCTTCGGCTGCGAGAGCGGCGGCAGGCAGGAGAGGTAGGAGGCGCACCGCAGCGCGGCGTGCGGCGGCGGGCGGCCCTTGTCGTGCGGGAACGGGTGCCACGGCGTCGGCTCCAGGTTGTGCCCCAGCAGCGTCCGCGTCCGGGACAGCGCGTCGTCGTACGCCTGCGACATCAATCACCGTGCCGAGAAACCATGGTCACCATCGACGTGGATGCATACATACACGAAAGAAATCGGCATTGTTCGTCGTGATCAATCTCGAGAAAACTTTCCAATTCGATCCGATTCACAGGGAACGGAGCGCGAAACCAAGAAATGCAAGAATCAACGGCGGGGACGACGAACCGAGTGGAGGACGGCGATGACGATGACGGCGGAGAAGGCGGCGATGGTGGAGACGACGAGGGAGGCGAGGGGAGGGTACCGTCCGGGGCGGGCGGCACGGCCGCCGCCGCCCTCTGGCGTGTAGCCGCCCATGGAGCACGCGGGTGGCCGGAGACGGCGGAACGAGCGGACGTAGCGCGAGTGCAAGTGGAGGAGGAAGTGGGAGGTGACGAGTGCAGGTGTGGACTGATAAGATCCCGCGCCATTCTTGGCATCCTCCCCTCAAATTGTGCAACTGAAAGCCGATCGATCGATCGACTGCTATCTGCTGCATGCCACAACCATCCAACGTTTCTCTCTGGTTTTCTTTTGAAAATTTGTTACGAGGGTGAGGTTTACCTGGTCCTAGCTCCAACCACATCACTTGCCATAGAAAATATTCAGTATTTCTTTTAGAGATAAATCTTGAGTAGTTGCTACAAAAAGGGAGAGATGGAGTCCCGGCTACCCAAAGGGTATTCCAGCCTTCTTTATCAGTAGTTTCTTTTTTGAGATGGTGTACCCGCCTTCTTTATCATTATCAATGCAAGAACGTTTTTCTACTTTAATTTAATGGGTCCTATATATCATTATTAATGCATCATCACGATGATACAACTTACTACTATATCATATCCGGAAAAAGGATCAGATCGAGGATCAAATGGGCACCGAACTTCAATCCTCATGGCGCCCATGCCGTGCTTGGCATGTGTATTCCATTATTGGCATGGGATGATCTCATTGCTTGACACAAATGAGAAGAATAGAGTTTTCTTGGTTAGGGGTGCATATGGAATGACATTCCACGAGTGCAATCATGTTGCAGATACAGGTCTACATAGTGGAGCTCCTGATGGTGGGGGGAAACTATGGAACCTAATATGGCAGGCTAATGTTAAGGGCAGAGGCACCCACTAGAGTTAATTGCAAAAAACCACCACATTTGGGGCATCGATTGCAGAAAACCATCTAGTCCTTAATTTTATGCAAAAATCACCGTGTTTCCAGTAAACTTTTTGCAAAATGCACTGGTCAGGTGATTTAGTCCATTTAATCACTTTCTAACACATGGGACCGGACTGTATGGAGCTGACTTGGCAAAATAATCACACAGAGACCCCCTAGTAGATTTTTAAAAAAGCAATCAGCCCCCTGAACCATGCCCGGTAGAGCCCGCTGCCTCGATCCCATCGCCGACCCCCGGCGCCACTCCGGCGATGTCGCCACCGCCGACAAGCACGTCGCCGTCGTGATCTCCTCGCCCCGCCTCTCTCTCCCACGTCGTCCTGCTAGGGCCGAGTTGCGATGCGTGGGGAGAGGATCCCTCCTATGCGTGCTCGCCGGAGCTCAGGGCGCGTGGTCGCGTGCAGGAGGTACGCCGCCTCGCTGGAGGGCATGGGCGTGTGCTCCCACGGGAGGAGGCAGATGAGGGAGGACCACTCTGTTTCTCCTCTGCTCACCGGAGTCCGCCGCCTCCCACCCGACCTGCAATGCCACAGCCACCAGCGCCTTCCCCCTACCTGTTGGGGAACGTAGCAATAATTCAAAATTTTCCTACGTGTCACCAAGATCAATCTATGGAGTCATCTAGCAAAAAGGGAGGAGTGGATCTACATACCCTTGTAGATCGCGCGCGGAAGCGTTCAAGAGAACGGGGTTGATGGAGTCGTACTCGTCGTGATCCAAATCACCGATGATCCTAGCGCCGAACGGACGGCACCTCCACGTTCAATACACGTACGGAGCAGCGACGTCTCCTCCTTCTTGATCCAGCAAGGGGGGAGGAGAGGTTGATGGAGATCCAGCAGCACGACGGCGTGGTGGTGGAAGTAGCGGGATTCCAACAGGGCTTCGCCAAGCGCTGCGGGAGGAGGGAGATGTGTCATGGGAGGGAGAGGGAGGCGCCAGGGCTTAGGTATGGTTGCCCTCCCTTCCCCCCACTATATATAGGGCCAAGGGAGAGGGGGAGGGCGCAGCCTTGCCCCTTCCTCCAAGGAAGGGTGCGGCCAAGGGGGGGAGGAGTCCATCCTCCCCAAGGCACCTCGGAGGTGCCTTCCCCCTTTAGGACTCTCCCCTCCTCTTGTCCCTTTGGCGCATGGGCCTCTAGGGGCTGGTGCCCTTGGCCCATGTAGGCCAAGGCACACCCCCTACAGCCCATGTGGCCCCCGGGGCAGGTGGCCCCACCCGGTGGACCTCCGGGACCCTTCCGGTGGTCCCGGTACAATACCGGTGACCCCGAAACTTGTCCCGATAGCCGAAATAGCACCTCCTATATATAATTCTTTACCTCCGGACTATTCCGGAACTCCTCGTGACGTCCGGGATCTCATCCGGGACTCCGAACAACTTTCGGGTTACCGCATACTAATATCTCTATAACCCTAGCGTCACTGAACCTTAAGTGTGTAGACCCTACGGGTTCGGGAGACATGCAGACTTGACCGAGATAACTCTCCGGTCAATAACCAACAGCGGGATCTGGATACCCATGTTGGCTCCCACATGTTCCACGACGATCTCATCGGATGAACCACGATGTCAAGGACTTAATCAATCCCGTATACAATTCCCTTTGTCTAGCGGTACGATACTTGCCCGAGATTCGATCGTCGGTATCCCGATACCTTGTTCAATCTCGTTACCGGCAAGTCTCTTTACTCATTTCGTAACACATCATCCCGTGATCAACTCCTTGATCACATTGTGCACATTATGATGATGTCCTACCGAGTGGGCCCAGAGATACCTCTCCGTTTACACGGAGTGACAAATCCCAGTCTCGATTCGTGCCAACCCAACAGACACTTTCGGAGATACCTGTAGTGTACCTTTATAGCCACCGAGTTACGTTGTGACGTTTGGCACACCCAAAGCACTCCTATGGTATCCGGGAGTTGCACAATCTCATGGTCTAAGGAAATGATACTTGACATTAGAAAAGCTTTAGCATACAAACTACACGATCCTTGTGCTAGGCTTAGGATTGGGTCTTGTCCATCACATCATTCTCCTAATGATGTGAGCCCGTTATCAATGGCATCCAATGTCCATGGTCAGGAAACCGTAACCATCTATTGATCAACGAGCTAGTCAACTAGAGGCTTACTAGGGACATGGTGTTGTCTATGTATCCACACATGTATCTGAGTTTCCTATCAATACAATTCTAGCATGGATAATAAACGATTATCATGAACAAGGAAATATAATAATAACTATTTATTATTGCCTCTAGGGCATATTTCCAACAGTCTCCCACTTGCACTAGAGTCAATAATCTAGTTCACATCGTCATGTGATTAACACTCACAGGTCACATCGCCATGTGACCAACATCCAAAGAGTTTACTAGTGTCACTAAACTAGTTCACATCATCATGTGATTAAGACTCAATGAGTTCTGGGTTTGATCATGTTTTGCTTGTGAGATAGGTTTTAGTCAACGGGTCTGAATCTTTCAGATCCGTATGTACTTTGCAAATTTCTTATGTCATCTTGTAGATGCAACTACTATGCTACATTTGGAGCTATTCCAAATAACTGTTCTACTATACGAATCCAGTTTACTACTCAGAATAATCTGGATTAGTGTCAAAGTTTGCATCGGCGTAACCCTTTACGACGAACTCTTTTACCACCTCCATAATCGAGAAAATTCCTTAGTCCACTAATTACTAAGGATAACTTTGACCGCTGTCCTGTGATCCATTCTTAGATCACTCTTGTACCCCTTGACTGACTCATGGCAAGGCACATTTCAAGTGCGGTACACAGCATAGCATACTGTAGAGCCTATGTCTTAAGCATAGGGGACGACCTTCATCCTTCCTCTTTCTTCTGCCGTGCCGAGCTTTGAGTCTTAACATCATACCTTACAACTCAGGCAAGAACTCCTTCTTTGACTGATCCATCTTGAACACCTTCAAGATCATGTCAAGGTATGTGCTCATTTGAAAGTACCATTAAGCGTTTTGATCTATCCTTATAGATCTTGATGCTCAATGTTCAAGTAGCTTAATCCAGGCTTTCCATTGAAAAACACTTTCCAATAACCCTATATGCTTTCCAAAAATTCTACGTCATTTCTGATCAACAACATTCAACAACATACATACTTATCAGAAATTCTGTAGTGCTCCCACTCACTTCTTTGGAAATACAAGTTTCTCATAAACTTTATATACACCCAAAATCTTTGATCATCTCATCAAAGCATACATTCCAACTCCGAGATGCTTACTCCAGTCCCTAGAAGGATTGCTAGAGCTTTGCATACTTATTAGCATCTTTCAAGATTGACAAAACCTTCCTGTTGTATCACATACAACCTTTCCTCAAGAAAATCGTCGAGGAAACAATGTTTTGACATCCTATCTGCAAGATTTCATAAATAATGCAGTAATCACTAATATAATTCCAACAGACTCTTAGCATCGCTACGAGTGAGAAAGTCTCATCGTAGTCAACTCTTTGAACTTGTCGGAAAACATCTTAACGACAAGTCGAGCTTTCTTAATGGTGACATTTACCATCATTGTCCATCTGCACTCAACAGCCTTACGACCATCGAGCTGTTCTGTCAAAGTCTACACTTTGTTTCCATACATGGATCCTCTCTCGGATTTTATGGCCTCGAGCCATTTATCGGAATCCGGGCCCACCATCGCTTCTCCATAGCTCGTAGGTTCATTGTTGTCTAGCAACATGACTTCCAAGACAGGATTACGTACCACTCTGAAGTAGTACGCATCCTTGTCATCTCACGAGGTTTGGTAGTGACTTGATCTGAAGTTTCATGATCACTATCATAAGCTTCCACTTCAATTGGTGTAGGTGCCACAGGAACAACTCCTGTGCCCTGCCACACACTAGTTGAAGAGACGGTTCAATAACCTCATCAAGTCTCCACCATCCTCCCACTCAATTCTTTCGAGAGAAACTTTTCCTCGAGAAAGGACCCAATTCTAGAAACAATCCCTTATTGCTTTCGGATCTGAGACAGGAGGTATACCCAACTGTTTTGGGTGTCCTATGAAGATGCATTTATCCGCTTTGGGTTCGAGCTTATCAGCCTGAAACTTTTTCACACAAGCGTCACAGCCCCAAACTTC